TGTAGTCTGTAAAACTGAGAAGCAATTCCATGTTACACTGGGGTTGTGGGATCCATGAACTGGAACAAATTGGAGGGTGTGGAAGGTGGAAACAAAAGAAGAATGAAGATAAGGACCATACAAATCTTGCTTCACAGAGGGCTTGAGCAAAGGGCTCCCCTAAACATGCCATCTGTCTTCTAAGATGGGAGCAAAGAAAATGTGTTGCTTTGCAAAGCTTTTGGCAGGAATGTGCCACTTGCCTCAAGCTTTGGTGAGATGAGCCAGAAGACGTGTCCCTTTGCCGTGTCCTTAGCAAAGCATGAAGAGCTTCTATCCTGGTGACATGGCTGCCAAGAAGCCGCTTCTGTCTTTGGCAAGGGACAAGTGGGAGACGTTTATTTTTTTATTTCAATTTAGACGTTGGCCAACTCCAAGCTGACTTGGAGAAGTTTCAAGGCAACGTGATCCTTTGTCAAAGCACACTGCGTTGTCTCTTTCAACAAACAATCCCATTACTTCTGCAGCAGAGAACTCTTTCATCCAAGTGTATCAAGGTCGCCTTGCACAAGCCGTGGGGATGCGATTTGTCTCCGCACCTTTCCGAAGTAGTTTGTGAATGCGTTGTGTATTCCCACAAACGTACTTGCCCAACATTAGATTAGTCTTCTTCATCTGCATAACAGAAAGGATGAGATTATCCATGTTATGGTTCATCCATTCCAAGAAACTCCCTGTAGGGAAGAACCTCATGTGTGATATATTATGCAGAAGGAACAGTAACTGAAGAAGTGTTGTTCTCGGGTGTATTGGCAACATCTAAGAAGAATGGCGGTTCTTTGGTTCTGGAGATGTTCACGCTGTGTTGATGCTCCTGGCAACCTGGAGGAAGGAGCAAAATGATGCTTCTGAATAGTTTTGCAAGTCTTAAGGTTTTTCATGTATCTGATTGAAAAAATCTGAGCGTGATTTTTTTTTTTTTCCCTGTTCTTTTTGGAACAAATTGCTTGCTGTTTTCAAAGAGAAACATCTCATTTTTGGAATGGTTTCTGTCTTGCCTAATAGTATATAAAGTCCTCTTTTTTTCTTTTTTTTTGCTCTAGGATTGGCATTGCTTTTCGAGATGCGGGTAGTTTCCCTAATTTAGTGAACCATTGTATGTTGGCCCTCCCGTGCTTACATAGCTTATGTAGGCTTGGATTATATAGCCGGGTCGAAAATTGAAAATATTTGTTTGTTTGTTTGTTTATTTTCAAAATTTATGAAAGCCCAGTTGAAAATATTTATTTACTTACTTACTTTCAGGATTTACAAGGCTGCCCAACTCAATCAATGTAACTCTGGGCAGGGTACAGCAGTGTTCCTCAACCTTGGTGACTTTAAGATGTGTGGACTTCAACTCCCAGAATTCCCCCGCCAGCCCGGCTGGCCTGGGGAATTTGGGGGTTGAAGGCCCCACAATTTAAAAACACCCAAGTTGAGGAAAACTGTTGGACAGCATTAAAAAAAAAAAAAAAACCTCCCCCACCATATAACAATAAACAGATACTATAAAATGGCAACCAGGACATAACAGAATGACCAAAAGGGGATCTTCCTTCAATTGGCCCCTAAGTGTTAATGGTAGGGTAGTACTTCTTTGCATCAGCTTAACATGTGGGTTTTCTCATTATAGTGTGAGTTCTATTTGTGTCATTGCATTGCACTAGCATATGAGAGATAAAATAGTTCCCTTCCCATGGACACCATGCCTTCTCCCAGTATAGTGGCATGTCATGGAAATATGTCCCTCAGAAAATTTCACTGCTGCTATGGCGATAGCAGGTAAAAGATTTTCCAAGTTTTATAAATCATACAAATACTTTTGGGCAAAGCTGGTTTGAAAACAAACTTGCATGCTTAGTTTACTTAAAATGAGTTCAATTTGTAGAGAGTCCTGCAAACCTTTGCAGGAGAAAGCAAGCATTACAATTGGGGAAGTACTATGCTAAGCTTATGTTTTGGTCTAAACATAGCTAAGTTACCCTTCTTCTTCTTTTTTTTTAATATTTTATC